ATTATAATTATTATATTAATACATCATAATGATAATAATAATAATAATTATTATTATTATTATAAAAGTTTTGTGAAATGATGTTTATATGCAATATCAAAAGAGAAACACGACTAGAATGCTTCTAATGTGGTTCACATTTAAAAATAAACTAATATACAGTTAAACGACTATTAATATTGCAACATAGTTAACTACATAGGGGAAAATTTCTCTTTCCAAATTACTTTCCTTAGCTGACTAATCGGAACGTGCTAGTTAGCATGTTCGATCCATCGGAAGTAAAATGACTCTATAATCGATATGAATATTTTAAATTCAAGAGAAACTAATAATTTAAAATTAATTAGGTAAATCTCATATCAATTTATTTTGTGATTTTCTTTGTGCATCAATTCCTCATAAATTTTTAATCTTATTTCCCTGCAATCTAATATGAATTTTAATGATTCATTCGTTAATCGACAAAAATACAACATGAATCCAAGTTTTTTAACTCTCATTGTAATAGCCCTTGAACTTTGTTAAGGACGCCGACCATGAGCGCGTTCAAGTGGAAGATCTTGAAAACCGGTCATGCTTTTTATGTTAAATCTATTGAATTTATTTTTTTTTTTCTTCAAATTCTTTTTACGAAAATCAATCTTTTCAATTTATTCTTTTCAATTTACTTATTTGTATCATTGTTTCATTTGTTTCATTTGATATTATTTATAAAGAAGATAATTTGTATCAATGAAATGTATATTTTTATTTCTTTCTGCATTTTTTTAAATATGGCAGTCATAATAATAAGGATAGTTTTGTTCTTTTGCAAATCAGAATAAAAATAATACGGATCACGTATAAAGATTGAACTTGACTTCGTTCAATGGTGAATTATGTCAGAGATCATTGCACGTATACAAAATCCATTGTTATTCTAATTTTTTCACGATTACATGTACACGATTCTACACGTTTGTGCGAACAGAATTAATAATAAGATTCCTTCAGTTGTCAGAATCACGGATTACGATAATGTTAGTAAAAGTCTCATTGGATTAAACTAAATAAAATATATGTAAGATATCAGACATTACTTTCAAATCTGAATCTAAGATCAATTAAAATAAAGAAAATATAATTAAAAAATATATATATAAAATAGACAAGAAAAAAATAAAAGAATTTTCAACACTAATTTTCATCTCACTCAATAAGATGATACATTACTGGATATGTATTACAAAATATTTCGAAGGAAAATATTAATTCGTTTCTGCGTGATACGATGATATAGTAATTTATTCTGTAACAGTAATTTACGTAACAAATTATGATTAGTAATTAAACTGCACATGCAATCCATACTATATCGATCCAATAGAAACAATATAAATAAGTTAGCATGACGATGATTAATTAGATAATTAGATAATATTACTTTCTTCTCGAATAGAAAGTTTTGTTAAATTATTAGGTTCTCAGCCTTTTCTCCCATACGTGTTGTAATCTTTGGTAATGAAAATTATGTAGCAACACAAATGTTTGCAGGCATATATCTAAAAATGTAAACGAAACTCTATAATTATTTAGCTTACAACATTGATCGAATGATATTATGTTACTTAATATTAAATAAAAATAAAATTATTTACTGTAGAGATGAAAAATTATTTCAACAATTATATGAAACATTTAAAATATTTGATTAATTTAAAGCATATTAGCTTTCAATTCACATCAATTTCATCCAAAGTAAGTAATCCGGAAATGATCGCTCGTCGACTAAAGAGAAAGTGTCTTAACTGATGAAATAGGTCATTGGTTACAGCGTTAGCAAGTCATCTTGTATACGAAAAGAACTCTTGTGCTGTTGTTATAAAATATGTAAAAGAATTTGATTTATTAATCAAAAAATTATATTAAATCTTTTTCTTTTTATAGCGGATGACGCTTCAGGTAGATACACTAATAGTTTTCTCTGGGGAAATTCTTATTATGTCGGATCAGCAACTCAATGTGCCTATATCGGCGAAGATTATAAGAGAGAGATGACAAAGATTCATCGAAATGGATCGATAGAAGACTTCAATATTGAATTACGAAAAAAGAATTCTGGTCTCAGTGGAAAAGATTTCTGGATCGGAACGAAATTAGATAAACCACCTTACAAATTAGGATTTTATATAATGACCATTTCAGTGAACAATACTTTATTTCCTACAGTAAATAATTTAAATTTTTTAAACATATTATTTAATAATATGTGATTTGTATAATAATTATAATTTTAATCGTAGGTTAGAACGATTTATCTTGGAGTATGTTTACCTTTCTCATGTAATGCTTCCGATGTTTTTATAATAGTAAAACTCGCTGGAAGCGAACAAGCGGTAAAATATTCATCGATTGAAAAAATTCGAGATCAGCATGATATGTACGACATGTATGAAGATCCAATCTTTTGGATTCTATCGTATGTTGAACAATGTTAAAACAAAATGATAAAATAATAAAATCGAAATTAAAAATATTGAAAATGTTTCAGTGGTGTAAGCGCTGCGGTTTTTCTCTTAATGTTCATTGGTACTGGATATGATATTTACATAACGAGAAAATATACTCGCGGAAAAAACATGATTTACGATTTGGAAAGACACGCAAAACTTGAACAATTAGCCGTCAGAAATCAAAAGCCTCTAAGTGGTAAGATGATTGATATCTTGGGTTATTTTTTCCTTTTCAAATGTCCTTCTCTTGTAAAATTTCTCCCTTTGACGCGATTCGAAGGCAATATTTTATCTTTATGTTCATTTTCTTGTATCGAGAACAAATGACTGACTAATACAGACAAATACAGGATAAGGACAGTATCAAATAGAGTGACATACTTTTATTATTATATTCCGTAGCTTTTCAAGGTAAGGTCTACCTTCCTGTTCCAGTGGCAGAAGCTATCATCAATGGACCTCAATCATTAGCAGTTAATAACAACAATAATCATGAAAGTAGTCTAGGTTCAACTAGTTTAAAAGGATATAAATTCAGTAAGTGTGAGATCTATCTTTTTAAAAAAAAAAATAAAAAAAAAATATAAAAAAAATCTTCATTATTTTCATTTTTAGGTGTCTTCGAAGAATTGTTACTTTCTTTCTCGGTCCGAGCTAATGTAAAAATCATCTGCGATAATAAAGTTGGAGGTGACACAATCAGCACTATTCATGGTCTTAAAGCGATATCGATGGCTTGGGTTATCTTGGGTCATACCTGTATTACTGCTTTTAAATACTCCGATAATATGGAATATCGAAAAGTCGTGGAAAAAAAATTCCTCTTTCAAACAATTACAAATGGGGCTTTCAGTGTTGATACATTCTTTTTTATGGGAGGTTTACTTGTAAGCTTCCTATATTTTAGGACGAATGCGAAAGGAGATTTGAACAAACTTACACAGGGTACACGGGGTATTGTGGCAGGTAGTCTGAAATTTATCGGTCTTCTTATGTACCGATTTTGTAGACTTACAGCTCCCTATATGTTCGTACTTGGAGTAGTTCAAGTTGCATCTAAATGGTTTCTTTCAAATTCTGTATTTGATCCACCAACCGCGGATCATATCAACTGTCCTAAATATTGGTGGAGGAATTTACTCTATATAAATACTTTGTTTCCAGTGGATCAAATGGTAATGAAATGATTTAATTAATTTTTTTAAAAATTTACTTAAATAAAATCAAATAAATCAATAAAATGATTTGCTTTATTTTTCGATTAAAATAATCAAAATTAAATAATATATGCTTTTTTTTTACAGTGTATGATTTGGAGTTGGTACGTCGCCGACGATACTCAATTTTATATTGTCGGCGCCGTGATATTGGTATTAGCAACAAATCATTTTAAAATCGCTACTTTCATGATGACTAGTTTATTATTGAGTTCCTGGTTAACAACAGGTTATATTGCTTTGATAAATAATCATATGCCAAGCTCAGATGATCCATTAGCGCTTTTTGATAAAATTTATGATAAACCATGGACCAGATTGGGTCCTTATTTTATAGGCATGTCAATAGGATATTTCCTTTTTAAGACTGATTGTAAAATAAAAATGTCTAAGGTATATCAAAATTAATATTTTATAAAAAATAAAAAAAATGATTTTATCCGAATTATAATTTTATTCTTTTCAGACAACCGTTTGTGTAGGATGGCTTTTTTCTTCAGCATGTCTTTTAAGTTTATTATATGGTCTGTATGAAACAGAACTTAATCCTATAATGGCAGCTGCTTATTCTTCATTAAGTCATAGCGTATGGGCACTTGGTTTATCATGGATCGTTGTTGCATGCAGTACAGGTTACGGAGGTATATTTTTATTAGCAATAATAATTGTTAAATTACAAATAAATATAAAAATATCATATTAAAAACTTTAAATATGAATATTCATAGGATACGTAAATAATATTCTTTCGGCACCGATTTTATATCCAATTAGTAGAACAACATATTGCGCTTACTTAGTACATCCACTTGTAATTCGATTAACAGCCATGAATTTGGATTCACCATTTCATTTAGGAAAATATACTATGGTATGTAAAAGTATAAAATCTATTTTCTATCGGCATTTATCAATAAATTTAATAGAATGATACACCTTTTAGATGATCACTTTCTTTGGACAACTGGTTTTATCTTATGTATTATCATTTATTATATCTGTTTCTTTTGAAGCTCCTATAGTAAGCATGTTAAAGATACTTTCACCAAAAAAACGAAAACGTATACAATAAGGCAATCAAAAGTTGCTTTATCTAACTTTTTTCATAAATTATGTATGTCTTTATTATATAAAATTAATTTGAAAAAACTTATTAAATCGAAGAAATATCAATGTATTATAAGGCGTAAATGTGTAAAACTTATATGTAATTTTGCATTATTATATGTAGACTTCATTATGTATTATTTGTGTTAGCTATAAAATAAATTATTTCTCTTTGTATATTTGTATTCCTGACATGAAAAATTAGATTTTTATTTGTATATCATTGCATTTTATTTATACATATAACATATAGAAAATAAATAATAGCATGTTTTGTTAAAATTTCACTTGAAAAAGTTATTTGACCATCTTATACAATGTTTTTGATAGATGTTGATAATTTCTAATATTTTTAACATAAAATAACAAAAGTAAAAATGATATAATATAATTTATGGACCTCCTTCAATTGCAATTTCTGTATTGATATCAACATAATGTGGCCCTTGATTTACAAACTCCCTAAATCTTTGCATTGTATTTGCATCAAATATATCTTGTTCAGCTTCAACTAATTGCTTTACAACTTCGTATTTAGCTTCTTTACATTCTTTGAAAGATTCAATGTTTCTGTCTAATAAAAATTCTACAAGACCTGGATAAGAAGATATATATTCTTGACCCCATACTTGAGATGCCAAAACTGCCATCACTTCTAAACCTGCTTGCCTAATATCTGCAAATGGTTGCCTACACAATGCCACAATCATACCCAATGGATCATCACACAGAGAATCAAACCATGATTTTGTCAGTGATAAAATTCTATTATCTTGTTCTATTTTTTGTATAGTAAGTATAAGAGCTAAATTATTAAGCCCACGAATTCTTAATGCTGTAGGCATTCTTTGTATTATCTCAGCAATTTTTTTTAATGCACATGGCATTGCATCTCCCAGAGCTTGTAAAGCATATTTACCTTCAACACACATAGAAACATGTCCCAATGTATCTAATGCAACACCAAGAATAGTTTGATCTCCACTTTCTATTACTTCAAACAATGCAGAAACTACAATTGGATATTTTGAAAATATTTCATTAGGCCAATAACATGCAACATTACCAAAAAATTTCATTAATCCAGGAATTAATAAATTTGATAATGGATTTTCATTGGCTTGAGCTATTTTTTGAACCAATTTTCTTATAACATCTTGTTGTTCTAAATAACTTAATCCTTCTTCTGTTAATGCTAATTGTGTCAAGATTTCTAATGCATTTACTTGTAACAATATATCTTCACTTTCAAGGATATCAAATAAACTATTTAAAAATCCTGATTGAGCAGATGCTTCTAGGCCTTCTTTTGAGGATTTTGCAACATCCACAATAACTTCATATATACGAAAACTAATAGTATCATTCTTCACTAATAATCTAGCAAAACTTCTTAATAATTCACCAGTATATAAAATCTGTAATCCATTTGAATTTTTACCAATTTCTTTCATTATACACATTGCACATTTAGCTACCATTAAATTTTCATCTGCAATCCTATTTATAATAGCAACTAACAAACTGATATCTTTGATAATTAAAGATATCTTTTGAGAATTAGAAACAATACATAAAATTTCATGCAACACAAGTGACCTAACTTCAGCAATTGGATGAATTATTAATTGAGATATTTCTGCTGAATATCTTTGATATACTTCTCCAAGTTCTAAAATTCCAAATAATGTCTTCAAAATTTCACATACTTGATCTATATATTCTCTGTAAGAGGAAGAATTTGACTTTTTTATATTTTTTTATTATTACATTACATTAATTGATATTAATAAATTAACTAGGAAAAATGCAATTCTTTTTTATAATACATAAATATTTTTTTCATTATTTCTTCAACAAAATATATATAAAGTAAAAAGAAAATAAATTTTAACAATTACATTAACAATTATTAAAAATAATTTAATAAAATTAGAATTGTTATGATACCTGTTATTTGAGGTTAACTGAGTAAACAATTGACTAAAATCCACGTTACGAGAGATTTGTTCAGTTTCTCTATTATTTAAACTTTCTAATTTTATTTTTATCTCAGATAATATATCTTTTTTTTCTTCTACGTTATTTAGTTCGCCAAGGCGAACAAATTTTTGTTCCAACCAGTCTGCCATGATCGGCGTACTGACATTACTTTTTCGAAAATATTACTAGTTAGCTTCTAAAATACAAATCAATTGCCAACTTAAAATGATTAATTTTAATTCATAAAAAAAAACTTTTTTGAATAATAAATCTAATTAAATAAACTATATGTTTATAAATAATTTTTAAAAAAATAGGGATTTCTTATTTTATAATTCTATAAAATGTTACGTTTTTTTGCATATTATTCAAGTATAATAAAATACTATAACTATTCTAATAAATAAATTTTTAATAATTTTAATATTTATTAATAAAATTGTTAATAAATAATCAATAATTTATGGCATTTATGGCACTATAAAAAATTTGTTATTTAAACAAAAAAAAAAAATGTTATTATTCTGATCATTAAATTATTATATTATTATTTTATAATACTATTATTGTACTATTACATTAAAATATCAAAAAAATTAAAAATGAAAATAAATTTAAACATTTTTAATTTTTAAAAATTAAAAATCAAAAATAAAAATATGAAAAATTTATAAATGAAAATTGAAAGTACTTTTTTTTTCAAAATATTGGAATCTGTAATTTAAAAATTGAACTGTATATATATTAAATACATATGTATATGCATCGAATATTCATTATTATTTCGTATAAATATGTAAATTATAATGAAAATCATTTAAAAAATATTTTTAAATCTACTAAATTTTTATAAAAAAAAAAAACATACATAATATATATTTAAAGAAAAACTTTCATTTTTTTATTACATTAAAAATTTTATTTTAAAATATTTAATTTTTTACAAGTCAATGAATTTTTATGTTTTATATTTGACTCAAAATCTATATCGCATAACTTTCCGACAGTACATTTTTGTACGTCATAAAACATTGTTCTGTATGATTGTGTTTCGAGTTATTGCTTTTTCGATTAACACAAGGTAATAAGAATTGAATGTACATAATGACATTTTAAAATTTTTAAAATTTTATGTATTTGTATAAGTATTGTATTTATATAACTAATAAGTCAAGTATGCATTATTTTAAATGTCACATCGCATTTTCGTGTTACCTTATCAGGTCATTTAATAAAACCTGTTACTATGATCTGTTATACATATATGAAATTTAATTTTTTTTTATGAATATAAATAAACAAATAAAAATTTAGAAAAAATCATATATATGAGATTATTTACAAATGTATATAATTAAATGAAATTACATATATGTTATTCCAAGTTATATTCCAAATATTATTAAAAAATAATTGTGATATTAAATTTTATGAAATATATCATTTTTTAAACAAAAAATTATTAAGAATTATATATTTTATAATATTTTGTTAAAAGATAATTTCATTGTCTTATGTTTTATAATTGCATGAATAAATATGTAACATAAAGTTTACATAATAAATTTTTAATATATTAATTATCAATAAAAAAATTTATTATATTTGTTTAAACAAAATAAAAAAATACTCATCTTTTATTTTTTATCTAAATTATATTATATTTTATAGTATTGTGTATTAAGAAATGGCAGTAGATTTGGATCCAAATGATCCTGAAGTACGATTATCACAATTTCTTTATGTTGGAAAAGAATATCCTGATTATCAACCTGGGAATTGGTTTGTTCATAACTACTTTTTGGCTAAAAATGTTCCATCCATTGAAGAATTAGCTGAAAATACAGAAAAACAATTATTACCAATTCAAATTATTATAAAAGTAAAATCCTATTATAAGTATTAAAATAAAATATATATAAATAATTTATGTTAACAATTTAAAAGTTTACTGTTTTTTAGGCATTTGAAAATAATCTTGTTCCAAATCCAGAAACATTGGTATTTGCTCTTGCTGTTTGCTGTAGACAAATGAAAAGTGAAAGTTTACGTCATGCAGCATATGCAATTTTGAATAAAATTTGTGTATTGCCACAACATTTTATTTTATTTATAAAATTTGCTTCTCAAATAAGTAAACAAAAAGAACTTGATACAACTAGCAATTCGAAACATGGATGGGGTCAAGGCTTAAGAAAAGCTGTAAATAATTGGTATTTATCAAAAACACCAATGGAATTAGCAAAATGTGTTACAAGATACAAAGGCAGATATGGTTGGAAACATAAAGATATCATAAAATTGTCTCATCCTGTACCCAATAATCTTGGTATTTATTTTATTAAAATATTATCATTATATAAATAATTAAATTATTAATTAAATAATATATTATTAAATAGGAGAAGAAATGATTCTTAAATATATAATACGTGGTTTAGAAGAAATGAAAAAATCATATGGAGAAGATCCTACACTTACAGAAATTCTAGAATATATTGAACATGTTGAAGATTTTAAACATTGTACAGATGAAGTTAGAGCAGCAGGTCTTTTGGAAATGTATAAATTAACATTAGATCATGTACCTGGACATTTATTAAAATCCAAAGAAGTATTAGCAAAATAATATTAAAATTCTTAAAAATTATTAATACATATGATTTCTTATAATAAAATAATTCATTTATAGGTTTGGAATGCATTAATACCATCAATGAACTTAATTCTGCTTTTGACCAATTTACAAAGAATACATAATCTTAAATTATTAAAACCATCCTCACCAACAATCTCTAAAATAATAGATCAAATCACTAATGAAGAAAATATTGCTAGAGACAAAGTTCATCCAGCTTTAATATTGGTTACGATAAGAGATTATGAAAATTCTGGAAAGTGAGTGATAATATTAAGTTATTTTAATATTATTTTCCTTATATTTTATTAATATTATATAATATATAATTTTCAAAGACCACTAACATATGAAAAAAGAAAAATTAAAGAACAATTTGAGAAACCATTACCAACTCCATCTAAGCCAAATTCTAAAATCATTGATGCTCTTTATAAAATGTTGAATCTTTCATTTCTCGTAAGTATAAATTTATTTAAATTTTTATATTTATTTATTATAATTTTAAAAAAAATATTTTTAATTTAGCACATACAACCAACTGGTTTACGTTATATGATAACAATTAATATGAACAAAGTAATGATAGAAACACATACTTGGCGTAGTGGTAATATAAATGGTGCAGAAGCAGGATGCATAATTGCACTTGCACTTCTTCGTAGTGAGAAGAATGTCACTATTGCCACATTTAAAAATATTGGAATTCACGTTATGAATATTGATAAAACAGCTTCTTTTGGTCAAACTATGAAAAGACTGCAACAGATGCCTGTTGGAAATGTAAATTTGGGTAAACCAATGTCATGGGCAGCTCATCAGAACAATAAATACGATGTATTTATTAACGTTGTAGATCAAATATTAGAAAAATCTGATGCATCTGAAGAGGCTCTTCAGGCATATAAAACAAAACTTAAACTTACAAATACAAAGTAAGTGTTTGTCAAAATTATTTTTTTTATAAAAATAAATAAGCTAAATATTGTATTTACTTATTTTCAGATTAATAAATTGTGCTGTATGCTCTTCATCGACTTATCGCAAACAAAAAATTGACAAAAGTATTTTAACAATTAATGGTTTTGATGCTAGTGTTCCTATAGTTATACAAGCTTTTGCAAAATCTTTGTTTTAGTTACTATATACATAGCAATTTCTTTTTTGGCAAGCAGTACTAGCTAAACAATTATTACGCTTTTAAAATGACATTAATTTGATTCTTAAAGAAATAAGTCTAAAATAATTTTTGTGAGATCATTAATTAAGAAATACTTCGAAATATTTAGATTACAATCAAATTCATAAAATAGTTTTAAATAATTTATAAATGTTGCTAGTCTGATACTTGTATAACAATCAGAGCATGCACTTGTTGAACCAAGTATATAAAATTTTTAAATTAGAACTAAAATGACTATCAAAGCATGGCTTTTTTATTTGTAAGTATCATAAAAATTGGTAAGTAATTCAAAATTTTTATTTATAAAAAATTTGTTATGAAAATGAAGAAAATTATTTTAATCATAATATTTGACTATTCAAAAAAAAAATACATATTTAAATAATACATTAAACAAAAAAGATTTTTTTCCATATTGTCTTTATTGTTAATATTGTCAATTGACATTAATTAACTTAATATACAAAAATACTATACTCACGATAAATTAATTTTTTTTTCTATTTATTCAAATTTAATATGATGAAACAAAGGATAATTCGATTATTCTTTATTATTAACTAGTATTTTCTCATATTAATACTAACACATCGATATTAATAAATATTTATTGCATGTTTTTAGTATTTAGGATGAGCTGTGTAATCTTCATTTTATTTGCCTTTTATTTGTCAAAGAGTGGTCCAATAAATTTTGTAAATATTTACTTAAAAGAATGACATATTGATAAATGAATCAATATTTTACAAGAAAATAAATGTGATACATCTGTGATTATCAATTTGATTATATAGAGAAAAATTTTTGAAATGCTATGGACCACTTTTTATTATTTAGAAAATAATTAAATATTTACTAATTTATTGCTTAATATTTGATATAATTAGTTGCGCAGCTAAAATTAGAATAAGACTGCATATTAGATACAAAACAAGTATCTTAAATAACGTAAAATGCATTTTTGACTAATGATGAAAAATACTTTTATTTTAATATATTAATGTATTGCCTGCTTATTTCCACTGGTTGATGGTAAAGCTTTCTGTAACATCTTTAATAAGAAATATAAATATAATGTGATTTTTAAGATACTTTTTGAAGACTGGTGTGCTTCTGGAAATTCCAATAATTAAAAAAAAAAAAAGAGAATAGGATGCTGAAAAATTTCCCACTGTGATATGCATTTAGCCCCAAAGAATATAGATTTACATTAGTATAATTTTACTATTATATTTGCCATATCCAAAGTAAATGTGACAAATACTAAATACATTACTAATATAATACTGTGATACAGATTGTTATTGTTCAAACTAGATGAAAAAGTAAGTAAACCAGAGGCACACCATGTATTTGCTTCATTTGTTAATTAGTATCTATTAGCACATCAATTTTTCTTAAAAAAATATGATACTATCTATAGATACCTCTGCTTATTGCGATCCTTGAATTACCTTTATGAAATCCTTTGATTTTCAAAGTGAAAAAGTTTTTCTTAAAAAATGTTGCAAAAAAGCACGACGTGGATAGATACTCAGGTTTGACAAATATTTAAATTAAGTGCTTAAATATTCACGTGTTCTTTGCAGCCTTCGGTAATTCATAGATCGATATTAGCTATATATTATAAATTTTAAAATATAATAAAGTTTTAATTTCTTATATAAAAAAAAATAAGATTTGAACAAAATCATGTTTGTAGTATAGAGAATATTATATTAGAGAATATTATATTAAATTTTTCCAAAATATATTCTGAATGTAATTTTCAATCTTAGTTGCGCGACATCTTATAAAAACCTTTACAAATTATCAATTCTTAAAAATAATATTTTTAGATAAATTTTCATAATAGATATTCATGACATTTTATATTGCACTTGAAAAGATTATTTATATATATTAAGCGATTAGATTGTATCATCTTATAAAGGGAATTTCATAATAGATATTCATGATGTTTTATATTGAAATATTGCATTTGAAAAGATTATTTATATTAAGCGGTTAGATTGTGTCATTTTGTAAAAGAAAAAAAAATAATTTTTTTTTACAAAAATATTCTAAAAATAGAAGATAAAAACATTTAATATAGTCGCGCATCTACTTATTATTTACTCTTTATAAATAATAGAACATATCAACTACATTTATATTTGTAGTTGATCATATTCATTAATATCATACAAAATAATAAATATTAAATATCAAGTTTTTATCTAACGATCGAAAAGAAACATTAAAAACATTAAATTTTTAAAATAATCTTAAATTATATTTTATCACTGTCATTTTATAACTGCCATTTTTTATTACGTATTAAATTTCACAATTTTTAATTAACTTGATAACGGTACTAAAACTTATAGTTATTAATATTGGAATTAATCACCAAAGAATATTAATATTTTTTTAATGTCTTTACTATGATTATAAAGAAAATTTCTTTTCGATCGTATTGAGCGTAAATTAGACATGTCATTGTCTATTGTAAGAATACGTCCAAAATATTAAAAAGAAAAAAAATTCACAACAGCGAACAGCGAAGACTATCTAACAAAAACAAATGTGTGAACTTATATTTCTCTTCTAAAACTCAGGTTGTGCTGTTCTATTTCATGAAAAACAATATTAAATGTGTTCATGCTAGTTAATAAAAAAAAAAAAATATTTACCATAAGAAAAAAGAAGGAAATAAAAAATTCGACATTTCATAATAAATAATATAATGCATGTCAAGATAAAAAAAGATATATAGTATAGATATATAGATATAATATCACATTATCTTGATTGCATTACATATTTCTTATTCAAGCAAAATTAGCTTCCTTATAAAAAAATGATCTGATATTTCGATCTGAAACATTTAATTTTCATTAGGAAGCATAAATTACTAATATTTTATGAATATGTATTCATATAAATATTTTTTAATTATCAAAATTTGAAAATATATATAATTGTAATATTTTTTAAAATTAAGTTCAAAAAAAAAAGTTCAAAGAAACCTGTAATTGCATTTTTAGTGCTGCACTTTGATGATTCGCAAAAAGAATGTTTAATGTTTCTTATAAATCTTTTGAAAAAATATTAAAAAAACATTAAATTTTATAATTGTATAAATGAACAAAATATCTCATCTATATATCGAATACATCAACAATAGAACTGCACTAATTATGCACAAAAATTAAATTATTTAATTTGTGAATCATATAGAATGATTATTTTTTGGTCTTCTTTATTATATTTCTTTATTAAAAAAAAGTACATTAAACTTGTATTCATTTGATTATTTTTATTATATAGATATCAGCTATTTATTATTCATTTTGATATCTATTAAATTCATAAATGATTCAAAGAAAATATAAAATCGATAATGTGCGATAATTTGTTCTTGTGCTAATTAATTATTTGCGATATAACGTTTTTTATTGTGTGCTTGCGTACGTTGATCGAGAATAGTATTATTACTTTTTAATTCTATATCTATCATAGTTATTTATCTAAATTATAAAACCAAATTATAAGCTATAAAGAAAAATCAAAAATTAACTACAAAAGATTCTATTACAAGAAATGGTTGTTATGGAATTTCAATATTGTTTTTATACCTAAATAGTCTGTAAATGTGAAAAAAGTATTTAGTGACTGGATCGCTTCAACAAACAAAAAATTAGAAAGACAAACAAAAAAATATGTTATATTATTATTACATTTGTTAATATTATATTTCGATAAAATACACAATAGATGTTTAAAACTAAGAATTAATTCTTTCAATAAATTTTAAACTGTTTTTGTTATAATATTAACATAATATCTTTGAATAAAATTTTTTCTAAATCTATTTCTAGAATATTTTTTTCAAGATACCTGGCATATTATAAAAAAAACATATTTATTATGATTTACTGAAAAAATGTTTATTTCCATGATACTGATACATATGACATCATTCATTCATACAGAATTCCTATATTGTACATAGTACGATATAGTTTTTCTACAGGCAGTAATAGACGCAAGTCATACCCGCTTGCACATTCATTCTTGTTCATACATACATTGCAAAATCTGTAACGCGAATTACACAACTGCTTATTTGATTACATATAATAAAACATACAAAACAATTAATTCAAATAAATTAACGCGCAGAATCTTATGCGAAAACTAATTAAGCTATTCTCAGCAATAAAATTTCTTTAATTAGATGTACGTTTTTTTCATCAAGAAGATCAAGATGACTATTATTGATAAATTCATTACAGAACACAGAATGATTTCCATAACTATGTACTGTTTACTTCTGATAACTTAATGAATAACAAACGTTCGTCGATCAGTCTTTTTATACTCGACATATCAACGACGTATTAATCTCTGCAATATTGCATGAGACTGTGTTAATTCAGTCTAAATTAGGACGAATACATATATTGATCATTTCTTAGTTAAAGCTCATCTTTCAGATCTTCATCATCTCCACCAGTTGGTGGAACTCCACCACCTGCACCTTGATATAATTTAGCAATAATAGGCTGAACAATATCTGTTAACTCTTTTTTTTGTTTTTTATATTCTTCTGGATCAGTGTCTGCATTTTCTTCTAACCATTTAATTTTTTCATCAATAGCTTCTTCCATTTTTGCCTTGTCGGAATCGCTAACTTTTGAGCCAAGTTTTTCTTTATCGGCCAATTGATTTTTCAAGGAATATGCATACGATTCGAGTTCATTACGTGCTTCTACTCGTTCTTTTAATTTTTTATCGTCATCTGCAAATTTCTCTGCATCCTTTATCATTCTTTCTATATCATCAGGTGTAAGGCGGTTTTGATCGTTGGTAATAACAATTTTTTCACGGTTTCCAGTTCCTTTATCCTCAGCAGATACTTGAAGAATTCCATTAGCATCGATTTCGAAAGTAACTTCAATTTGTGGTATTCCTCGTGGTGCTGGTGGAATACCAGTAAGATCAAATTTACCAAGAGGATGATTATCTTTTGTCATTGGACGTTCACCTTCATATACTTGAATGGTTACTGTATGTTGATTGTCTGATGCAGTAGAAAAGATTTGCGATTTTTTCGTCGGAATTACAGTATTTCTATAAACAAATACAATTATTTATTTATATAAAAATTAATAACATGTATAATATATAATAATAATAACATGTATAATATGTAAATGAAAAATATAAAAAATATTTGTTTACCTTGGAATAAGTTTAGTCATTACACCTCCAACAGTTTCAATACCCATAGTAAGTGGATTGACATCCAGAAGTACAATAGCATCTGTATCTTGTTCTCCAGAAAGTACACCTGCTTGCACAGCAGCACCATATGC